AAAGGGGTGTTCAGATCACCCACTACTAATGTATTAGGGCCTATTTTTTTCCTTTGGTCAAAGAGTGTTTGGTTTATATATCTGGGTGCTTCAGTATTGGGTACATATATATTTATGATTATTATGTCCTCTAGATGGATAGATATTTTGATTATTATGTAGTGGCCTTCTTTGTCTCTTTTTAGGTTTTTTAGTTTAAATTCTGTTTTGTCTGATATAAGAATAGATACCCTTGCTCATTTTTGTTTTTCTTTTGCATGTATATCTTTTTCCATCCCTTCACTTTTAGTCTGTGTGTGTCTCTACAGATGAGGTGGATTTCTTGAAAACAGCATATTCTTGGTCTAGCTTTTTAATCCAATCAGACAGTCTGTGTTTTTTGAATGGGGAATTTAATCTGTTCACATTTAGGGTAGTTATTGACAAGTATTGTTTAATTCCTGTCATTTAATTGCTTTTTGTTTTGATGTTTTAAATCTTTTGGTTTAGATATTTAAATCTTTTGATCAGTACTTCCCTTTTTATTTCTCTTCTTCAATGTTAGTTGGAAATTTAAGGTGGTATGATTTAGCTTCTTTCTCTTTCTCTCTGGCATTTTTGTTTTAACAGTGGGTTTTACTCTTTCTTGTGTATTTGTAATAGTAGTCATCATTATTCAGATTCCAGATGACAGACTCACCTGAGAATTTCTTGCAGGGCTGGTCACATTGTGGTGAACTTCCACAACTTTTGTTAGTCTGGGAAATACACTATTTCTCTCTTTTTTTTGAAGGAGAACCTTGTTGGTTAAAGAATTCTTGGCTGGCAATTTATTTTTTTATTTTTTTTTTTAGTATTTTGTATATATCATTCCACTTTCTTTTGTCCTATAGGGTTTCGGTTGAAAAGACTGCTATTAGTCTGGTGGGGGCTCCCCAGTAGGTGACTTGATGCTTTTCTCTTGCTGCTTTTAGAATTCTTTCTTTGTCTTTGAGCTTTGCAAATTTAACTATAATGTTTCTTGGGGAGGATCTTTTGATGCTGGTGCTTCCCTCTGGGTCCAAGTGGGGAGGGGTCGCCTGCATCATGCAGGTCTCCTCAGCTCACCTAGGCAGGATATGCTGCAAGAGCTGGTGCTTCCCTCCAGACTAATTCAATTTTAATCATCTTAATTTATGTATGTCTTTTATTACAAGTTACCTGAATTTTGGGGGGAGGGGAGTGTAAAATGTTTAATATAAACACATAATGAAAAACGAATAGAAAATAGTTTTTAAAAAATATATTACAGAGGAAGCATATACGTTTTTGAAGACTTAATTATGTATATATTTTGAAAGTTGTTAAGAACCATGATGGATAATCCCGTTAAACAAATATGTGATGTTAAAAATCAGATACAAATAAATGTAGTGCTGAAAATTCTAGCAGTCCAAGAGTCATTTGCTATGAAATTTCATGGAAAGAAAGATCTTATTTGGAATGTTCTAAATTTATGCAAATTTCTATTCACTCCATGATTTGCTATCTAAATTTTATGGTTTAGGAACTAATATGTAGTATTTAAAAGAGGAAAACAAGGAGTTAACAAGATAAGTGATATTTACTAATTAAACATTTCTTAAAATTGTATAATGCTAACACAGCATGCTAATTTGGATAAATTTAAAGTGATTTTTATTTAAACATTGGCTGCAATTAAAAAGCTTGATATGGATTATTTTTAATTCCTGATATAAAAAAAAAGCTTTCAATATTATTTTTCACAAATGTGCATAATTGATTATACAAACTTCTTATTAGTAAATATTGGTGGGAAAATCATGCATTTTTTTTTTCCAGGAGATTTTTGAATTGGCTAGTGAAATTTTTTATGATGTTGCTTATTTATTTATTTTTTTTACAAATAATCGAATTATATTATGCATGTTAGGAGTTATTCAGAGTCCGAAGTACTTCTGATAGCAAATCAGGAAAAGATGGAGAGCTATGTAAGTTATATTAAGTGGATTCATCACTAAAAATTATCTATTAATACACTGATATTTGGAGAAAATTTGGGAGATCTGTTTGACTACAAAAATTCTGAATCAATAATTTAATTAACTACTAAATTCTTATAATTCTAGATATATTAGATATTTGGTATAAATGTTTGTGAATTTGACAAAAATCTTACTATTAAATTTGTTAGCAATATATCGAAACTCTTCAGATACATTTTAATTCTATAGTATCTGGTTGTATCAAAAGCCATAGTTATGGTGACTTCAGAAAAGTTTACAGGATTGAGGGGAAATGTCTTAAAAGTAAAAAAAGTCTATATAATCAACATGTTTCTCAGATCTGAGTAATATGAAGATTTGAGGAAGTAACCCAAATGTAACCTTCAAAGAATGAACAGAATGTTTTAACTTTGTTATCTAAAATACAGGTGATATTACTGCACTTTAAGAAACTGATGGACATGTTAAATCTGCTTAAATTAAGTAATTATATAACTTTATATTAAATTTTTAGTCCCCATTATTTCAGTTGATCCAGTGTTTTTAAGTAAGTTTTCCAAACTCTGAGTGCACAAGAGTGAGTGCACAGTCCCTGGTGGAGAGAGGCTAACATTTTGGTGTGTGGGTCAGCTGGAATAGAAGATTTCATAGGCTCGGTGATAACGTTGATAACATGCTAAGGAAGTACACAAAAGAGACTGTTTTCCTGACCTATTGCTACAGGGAAGGCTGTCTAGAGATAAGGAATGCGCTAAATCTTGTAGTGTAAGCTCTGGGATATAAAGTTGGTACCGGCGTTCCATGCAGGAGGAGCAGCATGAAAATATGCATGCATTTAAGGTATACAGAAATTCAATATTATTGGGGCATAATTTGTGTAAAAGTAAGTGATTAATGATGATGGTAGAGAAATGGTCAGTGGTCAGGTTATGAAGGTCTTTATCTGCCAAGTTAACACAATGGGTGATGAACCAATAAAAATATTAGGAAGAAGAGTGATAAGGTCAAACTTTCATGTTGCATAGATCTCTCTGACTTCAGTAAAGAAAATAAATTTAATGGGATCAAGACTGGACAAATGGAGACAAGTCAGATTACAGTAATTGTCTATGGCAGTAGTTCTCAAAGTGTGGCCCCTAACCAGCAGCCGCAGTTATCACCTAGGAGCTGGTTGGCATCTTCTGGAGCACAATTTGAGGAACTCCTTTTATACTGAATACAATGTGAATAGTGCCTCCTGGAGTCAAGCAGTGCAGTAGCCCTGGACAAAATGGGTCATCTCCCTTGATCTCCTAGATCCCTTGATCTCCTAGATCATGTAGAGGCTAAAGGTGAGGGTGTCACGGAAAACACAGCATGAGATAACTGAAAGGATAAAGGTGTTTGTCAAAGAATGAATTTTGGAATTGAATGTTTCTCACGTAGTATATTCCGGGTAATAATGACAATATGAGAAATGGTGACATTTAGCTAGTCTTAAGGTCCAATGGAAACTTGTTATCAAATTATGTCACATTAAGCTTATGTTGCTTTAGCGTGTACAAAGTAGGAATTAAGGGGAGGGCAGAAAACAGGGTTTGAGTGATGAATCCTAAGTCAGCAATTGAACATTCTCAGACTCCAGCAGCCAGGGAAGTCTGAATTGGTGGACCCTAAGATCTTCTCTTACACTTCTAATTATTTAATAAATCTTGTTGATTTTTTCTTGTAACATATTTTGAGTAAATGACTTCCTTCCCAGGTGTACTGCCACAGCTTTTATCCACTCAAATCTAAAATGGTAATGCCAGCCCTGTAATTAAAATTACCACTTTTAATTCTTTCAAATACCATAGCCTGGTATTTGAGACCCTTCAAAAACTGATTCTTAGTTATGTCTCCAACTTAGTCATTATAGGTAGAATTTATTTAAAACTTATGTGCTATCCCAGGGTGGAGTGAATTATATACCCTATTTCATTTATTCCTTAAAACAAACGTCAAGACAAATAATATTATCATCCTTATTTATAGATGAGAGAAATTAAGTCCTCAAGAGGAGATATAACTTATTCAACTAATGTCAGATCCAAAATTGAAACGAAGTAAACATTAGTCTCGGATTGTTTTTTTTTTTATTTACTATATCCCATTGTTTCTCACTTTATGTTCCACTTCTATTCCCTGCTCAGTTTGTGAACTATTCGTGCCAACAAATCAAATGTACTCCCTTTTTTTACCTGAAACATGTGATGTATACTTTCTACTTTTATAACAGTCATTCTCAAACTTCAGGGTTCGTTAAAGTCCCTGAAGTTCTTGTTAAAACAGACTGCTGGTCCCACCTTAAGATTTTCTGAAACAACAGGTATGGGGTAAGGCTCCAAACTTTGTATATCTAATAAGTTCCTAGGTGATTTTCATGTTACTGGTCTGGAGACCAAACTTTGAAAACCATTGCCCTGTATATACATCTAAATTCTACATCTTTAACAACTTAATGAAAACGGCATGTTTTCCATTGTATATTTCTGTTACCGCCACAACCTTTAGTAACCACCTTTGCTTCTAATCTCATGTTGCATTTACCATCTTCAATATTCATTTGTCTCATGTTGTTAGTTATCTTTATTTCCATATCTATCTTTCCAATCTTCTCATTTATCTTTATCTAATTATCTATCTTTCTATCTTGTATTCTTATGTAGCTCGTTGGTCTTTTGGTACCTTATATATTTTCTTCAAATTTCCATGGCAAAAAGTTTGGCACCTATGTATACATTGGGTACTCAAATATTTGATGATGATTTGTAGACAAAGAGATGGAGGATTTTTTCCCTTAGTGAGTCTTGAAGTTTTTCCCAATTGTATTTTAAATCAAATTTCAATTACCTTTCCTTCCAACTCTACCATGTAGAATTTCATTTGAAAGCATTTTCTCACCCAAGGTTTTTTTCTGTTTGTTGCTATATTTGAAGTGCATTAGAACATATGTTTTTTTTTTTTCTCTCTCTCTCTCTCTTTAATTTGCTGTAGGTAGGAAGTGTTGTACAGTTCCATTGCAAAAAAGGACACCTACTCCAAGGGTCTACAACACGCACTTGCCTCCCTGACCTCACATGGAGTGGAATTCAGCCTGAATGCATGCGTAAGTGTTGGGAAAATAGAACAATTTAATCAGGCCCTCTCACCTCAGGCCTGGATGGGGGTGGTTCAGTAAACAAATTGTGTGTGTGTGGGTGGAGTTAGTGCACATGTGCTGTACTGTGGCTTTGGCTGGTGGCTGCCTCTGGTGGATGCCGCTCCGTGCAGCCATGCTTTTCCAACCTACCACTTCCAAGGAGCTGTTTGCTGGTTACCTAGCTCATAGACCTGTGTGTGAGGGATCTGGTGACCCAGCCTGGCATGTGAAGGGTTTGTGACCCGGTCTGGACAATGGGCTTGAGGGGTCTGTGAGCTCCAGACCCAGCCCTAGCTTGACAATTGGCCCAGTCAGCAGGATTATGGGCAGGTGAAAGAGCCCGAGCGCGACAGTAAATATTGTGGGAAAAAAATGATATTTATTATGGATGAGAATTTATATGCATTTTTAGAGGCTGGCCAGTTAGCTCAGCTGGCAATGTTACTGAATTAGGTTCTTGGGTCCTAAAGTAGTAGAAATGAACAATGTACCCAGCAGTAAAGCAAGCAGCATTTTATTAAAAGAGGAGATCAACTTATGCATAAGGGGGGTAGCTACAGGAAAGCTAGACCCCCAAGGGGAGCTGTTCAGGGTCTTTTATAGGGAAAGAAGTTAAGGGGTGCAAGCCATTGTCACTGGAGGCAGTCCATTTTGTTATTCCTGGTTGCATCATGGGTGCATGATCAGTTAGGACTTTGGTCCTTGTTCCTGCTGGCTAGGTCCAAGACTGTGGTGGTATTCATTATCATCACCCCAGGAGGGTCATTGCATCTATCACCTTGAAGTTTGTATGCATTTGGGAATTCCTAAAGGGGTCTTAAGGTTAATCTGTAACTTAATTTTTACAGTTACAGTAAACAAGCCTTGGCAGGGGTTTGGCAACTCAGTGAATATTTGTTTCCCTCCTGTCTCAGTTTATTTTATCAGGGCAGGCCATGGGGTAATCATGTGACCTGAGGGGGGGGGGTCTCATGACTGAGGAGTGGAGAAGTAACAAAGTATCTTCTCCAGCTAAAATGGAGTCAGTTTGGTTAACAGGCCTAGCTTTATTCTGTCTCAGTTAGAGCACGGTACTGGCCAACTGACCAAAAAAAAAAAAAAAAAAAGAATTTAATTTATATGTATTTTTTTCTTCCAACTGTGGAAATAAATTTACATTTATACAACCGATGTACCAAATTGTTTTTTTAGATTGTTGTAAAACATTTTTCATGTACGTAATTGTATTACTATATCAAGTTTTAGGCACAATTTTGTTCTTTTTGTAAAGCTCGTATGATTGTGTTCAGTTTGGCCACTTGATAATTTTAGGTAAAGATTAATTTTTAGTTGCATAGATCTGTACCAATCAATCTGAAGTACTCTGAAATACAGGAGGCTCAACCCAAGGAGTCTCAATTTTTTTTAAATCACTTGTGAAAATATTCTCTGAGAATCTGAGGAAAACTAGAAATGTCTATGAAAAGAAATATTTATGGAAACCTCGACCACAAGTTCGAAAACTATTTCAGGATTTCTTGGAGCCTCTAAATGTTTACTGATTCTAAGTTGAGAGCACTTGCTGTACAGATTAAATGAGAACAAAGCCCAAGGTCACGAACTTTTTTTTACAAGCAAGTAGAAATAAATTTCAGCTGGTCAGCCACTTGTCTTTTTTTTCCCTCCAGTTCCCTCTTTTGATCTTTTCCCCCATCTTTTTATTTCTGAGTCTTTTGAGGAAAAGCATAAAGAGTAAGCCGGAGTAGAAACACTCATAGGGAAGGTATCTACTTTTTAAGATTTGCTTAAGTCCACACAAGTTCTGTGAATTTACTCAAGCTTTGTTCAGAACCACCCAAATGATCATGGGGTCCCCTGTGGACTAGCAACTTACTTAAAAGCAGCAGATCACTCCACTAAGACATCGTGTTACATGCCCAGTGGGCTTATATTTAAATGTGGCAAAATTTCTTAAAAGAGGATTCCTTAGAATGTATACTTGAGGACAACTATGTGGGCTAAAACTAGGTATTTCATAGTAAACCAAGGTTGATGACCTACATTTGAGAAATGATTTACATAAAGTTAAACAGTTTCTATTACTGCAAAGATCTCAAAATTTCTAATATGTGCATAACGTACGGCTTAAGAACGAAGTAGAGACAGACTATTTGTGTTTATCCTTATCGATATTTATCCCATGAGGATTAAATTCCACTAACTGAACTGTATTAAATATAAACCATTTAACACAATGTTTAGACATAAAAAATGTAGCTAATTTTTAAGCTTTATGAGCCTCTACTGGGAAACAAATGTAAAATATTGTTTTTCCAAAGAAATATGTCCATGGAACACTTTTTTCAGAGACTATCTTTAAGGATATCAAAAGGGTCTATCAAAAGTGATCAAAAATGCTGTCTGCTCTAGGGGAAAATTCCTTGTAGCATTTGTCTCTTCTTGAGAAAGGAATGGCCTTTATAAGACAGAAAACAGGAGAACTAGGCAGAAGGCGTGGTGGAATGAAGGTACAAAATTAGGAGTGAAAGGAAACATGGACAAAAGAAGACAAAAAGTTAGATGAATGAAATTATATTTCTAGCATATGGACCCAAATATGGCCAGAAAATTCTATGCATAAAATAATTATTAAAATGTACTTTCTACATAGGGAAGTATTAATAACAGAGCAATATAATGAATTGTGGTTGTATTTAACCTTAGAAAAATGGTTTTTCAGATTTAAAATAAATATAATAAATAAAAAATCATAAAATAGTATTTCTGAAACTGGTAAAACCTGAGCTTGACAAACTTTAAAAGCTATCTTACTGAAGGAATTTTTAGAGCCTTTAAAATACTAACGTTTATTGTGACTCTCTAAAATGGAGATGTAGTATACATTGATGAGCTTAAATACACACAGTAAGTCTTTTTTTTTTTTTTTAATTTCTTCTCATTTTTTTCTGTTAACATCTACAAGTGTTCCACAGATGTTATTTAGGAAATGTTAGAGTATGAAATGAATATGTATATTTTCATTAATGCATTTTTCTTGGCTCATTAGAATAATTATTCAAAGGTATATTTATATGATGATGGCATTATAGTATGTCTAAAAATGTATTGTGACTCCCATCTCAACATTTTCTTAATATGTCACAGATAATTGACATCGTTCTCTTTTCTTAATGTAGCCCACAGTTGTAAACAGCCAGAAACTCCTGCTCATGCAAATGTAGTAGGAATGGACCTTCCATCTCATGGATATACACTAATTTATACCTGCCAGCCTGGCTTCTTCTTAGCAGGTGGAACAGAACATAGAGTGTGTAGATCTGATAACACCTGGACTGGAAAAGTTCCTGTTTGTCAAGGTAAATTTTTTCTATAGATGCTTTTATCACAAGAGATTGTACTATTCAAGCCTTCCTCAGATGCAAGAGACAAAGACTCGACTCAAATTAGTGTAGGAACAAGGAATATGTGTTGACCAACTCCAAGGGAAAAGTAATGTAGACCCTTCTGGATCCAGAGGGATAGGAACAGTATTAAATTCTTTTTACAGCATCTTTTCCATGCTGATTTTTTTTTGTTATTGTTGTCTTTATTTCTTCTTCAAGTTCTCTCTTTCAGGTAGGTGCATTTGTTTTCTTGGGCCATTGTAACAAAATACCATAAACTGGTTTGCTTAACACAATGAATATTTATTCTTATGTAGTTTGAAGGCCAGAAGTTCAAAATCAAGGTGTGGGCAGGACCTCGTACCCTCTGTAACCCTTAGGGAAAAAATCATTCCTTGCCTCTTGCCAGCTTCTGGCAGCTCCTGGCAACTTTTGGCATTCCTTGGCTCATAGCCTCACTCCAATTTCTGCCTTCATCTTCACGTGGACTTCTTTCTTGTGTATATCTGTGTCTCTCTCCCCTCCTTATAAGGACACCAGTTGTGTTTAAGGCTTACCCTAAATTCAGGCTTATTTCATCTCCAGATGTCCAATCTGCAAAGGCCCTATTTACAAGCAAGTATTTTGAGGTTCTCAGTGAACATGAATTTGGAGGATACCCTATTCGACGGCTAGAGTAGGGAAAATTAGCAGCATCCCTGGGTTCATACCTTTCTGGCAGATTTACCATAGTAGAAAGAGCCCTTCCCAAAGTTAGGTTAGGAAAGCATTAACTATTCAGGACTCTTCATTGTCACAGTTTGGGACTGAGCCCATCTCCAAGTCCATTTCTCAGCCAGGGTGATAATGGCAGTTTGTCCAGATCTAGGAGAAGTGTCCACCCCTGTTACTGGTTTGTCAGTACAATCCATATCTTGACAAGATGTAGTGAGTTTACCAGAGGAAAAAGTATTATGTTGCCTGAAGAAGGAGCAAAGTAAGTTTTTCTAGAGTCTTGAAAAGAATAAAATCCTTTTTCTTTTGCCATCCAACAATTTTTTTTAGACCTTTTACTTTTTGATCTTTTGCAGCATTTACAAATAAAATAACTTTCTCCTTCTTGATATATTTTCACTTTCTTCTCTTATCTTATTTTTATTTTTTAATTAATTTATTTTTTTGAGTCTGGCTGAATCTTTGACCTTGGTGTTATCAGCACGATGCTCTCTATCCAAGCTAGCAAACCGGCCAGCTCACTTCTCTTAGAACAATACCCTGACTTTTTTTCCTTTCTAAAAATGTTTCAAGATAGAAACCCATATTGTATGTGAAGGTCTTTTATTTGTGTACTTGTTATTGTCTGTCTCTACTTTCCTCTCCTCTTATCTGCCTCTTCTCAATTAGAATATAATCTCAGGAACAGCAGACTTTGTTCAAAGTTTTTACAACTGTACTTTTAATATCTAGATTTGTGACTTATGAGTGAAAAGTATTCAGTCCCCTAATACATTCTCCACTTCCTTTATAAGCTTATGCTTTTCTACCCATGATTTTCTAAAGTCATCTCTTCCTTTCATCCTATATCCTCTTCTAGGTGATCTCATTCAAGCCAATGGCTTCAACAGTCTTCTCTATGGAGATTACTTACAAATTAATATTTCTAGCTCATTTATCTTCTTCTAGCTTCAGACTTATTTCAGTTGCTTACTTGACATCTCTACTTGAATTCCTCAAATATATTTCAATACTCAATACTCATGCACTACTAAACTCATTAATTTCCTTTCCCCATATAGTCTTCCTTTGGTATTCTCTATCTCAGTGATATTACCATCATATAGTCCTATAACAGTAGAAATCTAGTATTCACCACAGATAGCTTCCTATTCCTCTAAACCTACCATAATTTCAATAGCTGCTTTTTTTTTTATCTATCCATTTTTCTGTTTTATTATCATTGCTATGGTATTCTAACTCATCATCTCTACTTAGACTACCATAGACTCTTCACTTCTCTTAGCCATATCAACACTTGTTCTTTTTCAAGTTTTTCTCCTTTTTGCAGCAAGAGTGATGTTCACCCCAATCACTTCCCCTTAAAGCTTTTTAAGGACATTACATTGTTCTTAGGGTACATGGTCTCTACAGAGCACTGCACATCAGTCATAGCTCCTGCAACTTTCCAGTCACTTCCTTTATCCCACATCCTTTTCTTGATTTGGAGCTATCTTTGGTTTGGCTCAAAACTTTAAAGATTTCACTTTGAATCTATTCAATTTCTGGTGACATGATAAGCTATCTTAACACATTTTTATTCTTAAATGTGAAACCTGGCCAAATGTTTTTTGCCTTTTTTTTAACAGGAACATACCCTCAGCCCTTAGCTTCCAGGTCGGAAGCAACTATTTCTATGTTAGCTTATATATCTAAAATAAGAAGCAGTATCCCAAGATGACATGGCAGCACCAATCTGCCTCTTGTCCCACTGTACTATGATAGGGGTAATTATTAAAGTTGTTAGATGAATAAGAGAAGTGTTGAACTGCAACGCTGGGATGAACAGGACATTTTGTAGAAAACTGTGATATGTCAGGGTATAAAATTGACAAGTACAACACATTGTGTGTGTGTTTATATATATATGTGAGTGCTTGCATGTTGTAATTTTTGTAAACATTTTCATTTCTTTTCATAGCTGGTTCCAAAATATTGGTGAAAGATCCTAGACCTGCACTAGGAACACCCAGCCCAAAGCTAAGTGGTTAGTAATTTCATTTGTTTTTCTGGAAGTCATGATTTTTCTAGTAGTCATGATCACTATTTTTTTTGAAAAAAGGGACCATTTATTTAAAATACATATTTTGGTATGGGAAAAGTATGTATTTGACTATCTTGAATTTGGCGATTTGTATTATAAAATGTTGAATGTAAAGCAATGTAGTACTCTGACATGTTCATATTTCATTAACATTGCTTCTAGTTTTTGCTATAAAATTTTCTTTGAAGAATGTCTGTAAATTACTATAACATAATGGCAATACTTTTATTTAAAACATTAAGATAAAGAAGGAGATTTTATCTAATTTTTTATGTATTTTAAAGAGGAACCAAATACAGTCAGTATGAGAATAAAAGATCAGCAACTTTTAGAACTTGTCCAGTTTATTTTCAATTATTTGATTTAAAAAGCAAATTTAAAAATCTAGTTTAGTCACTAAAAACATTGGTTTTAAAGTCCTATAACTCTGATGTAATTCCCATCTTACACACTCTCTAGCCTGTGACCGTGGAAAAAATATATCATTTATCTGAGTCTCCATTTCTTTTTCTGTAGAAAATGAATAATGATTAGATTATTATATAATGCATTTCATGAAAATGAAGTGCAAATTGCTGTAAGAGCTACTTAGTGTTGGTCAGTATTTTATTTATGTAATGTAAGTGAAAAGTTACAAGTAAAATTAAGGGCTGAGCATCTAATATTTACCTTGGAGACAGATTTGACCCTATTTTATTGGGCCAAGGAATGTTAGGATCTAATTTTATTTGGGTTTAGAAATTTTTGATGTATATGCTGTAAAAGTGGAGTGCCCACAGACTTATACTAATTTTTTCAATGCTGAGTGAAAACATACTGAATGCCACTAAGACAACCGAAGAATAGGTCAACATAAAGTAGGCTTATTAGTAGATTCAGAAAGCCATAAAGGTCAATCAATACCCAGAATTTTCCAAGGGAGATGCTTTATCTGGGAGCAAATTGTGATCTGAATAATAGTTCCAGTACATCAAGTGTAAACTTGGTCTGTCCCATACAAAACATGGTCAGTGGTCACCCAATAGATAAATCGGGCAAACGAAAAATCAAAAAGGATATGGAAAAACTAAACAACAGTAGTGATGAGCTTGATCGAACATACATATGTAAAGATTTCTGTGTCAAAAATTATGGAATGTATATTGTCTTCAAAGGCACATGGGACAACTATAACAATTGATCATATATTAAATAATAAATAAATCTAAAAAAAAATTAAAGCAAAGTTAATCTGCAGACCTGATATCTCAACATGATGCAATTAGATGTTAATAAGAAAATGGATAATGTTTTTAAAATTTTGTATGTTTGGAAATTCAGAGCAAAATGAATAGTAATGAATAACTTACAAATTAAAGAAGACATTAAAATGGAAAATATAATACAGTGCTAGAATGTAGTACTGAAAAATTAAATATCAAAACTTGAGGACTGTAACAAAAGCAGAATTGTAAAGGAAAATTTATAGCCTTAGATCTTCACATTAGAAATGAGGAAGTTCTCAGAAACAATTAGGTAAGTGTTCCTGTTAAGAAGATATAAAGAGCATAGCAGAATAACAAAAAGAAAGCAGAAATCAATGTAATAATAAAAACCAATCAACAAAAAACCCAAGATATAATAGAAGAATCTCAACAGAGCCAAAGGTAGTTTTTTTGAAAAAATGTGCAAAGTAGAAAAAATTAGATAAAAATAACACAAAGGAAATGTAAAATAACTACATAGACAGCAGATTAAATAAAGTAGAAATGTATTTTGAGAAAACTGCTAATAACTAGCAACATTTGAAAAAAAATTAAACAAAATGGATGAATTACTAGGAAAGTATATCTTACTAAAACTAAATAATAAAACAAAGCTTGACTAATCTCATAATAAATAAAGTACTGGTTAAAATTATTTTCACAAAGAAAAACCTGGCCCAGATTGCTCTACTGATAAGTTCGAGCAAATTTTAAGGGAACAGATCAAGTTTTATAAAAATTCTTTAAGATAATAAAATTCATTCTATGGGCCCAACATAACTACAATAACTCAGATAAAGACATTACAAAAGGGAAAAATTTCAGGCCCATTTGATCCAGGTTTATAGATAAAAAATCCTGTATAAAATCTTATCAAATCAAATCCAGCATTGTAGTAAAAATAACACATCAGAACCAAATTGGATTCATCATTGATATGCAGGGATATTTTTGTGTTAAGTAATAGTTAAAAGTAATATATCACATTAAGAGATTAAAGTGCAAAAATTATGATCATTATGATCCTTGCAAAGAGAATATTTGATAAAATTCGTCACCTGTTTATGACTTCTTAAAAATTCTTAATAAATTAGCAAGGAAAAGACTTCCTTCTATGGATTGAATGTGTCCCTCAAAGTCAATGTATTAGGAACCTAATCCCCACTGTCACAATGTTATGGGGGGGAGGGGATCCTATCATGGTAATTGAATGGTGGAGCCTCAAAGAGGTGATTGGATTGTGAGAACCTCGTCATAATGAATGGATTAATAAATTGATGGTTTAATGTTGATCATGGGCATGGTTTTGATGGCTTTATAAGAAAAGCGAGTGAGGACATTAGTTTCTCACTTGCTTCTCTGTTTTCTCCACGTGACATCCTGCATCACTGTAGAGTCATCACCAAGAACAAGGTCCTCACCAGATGTGTGGACTTTGGACTCCCAACCTCTGTAACTGTGAGCAATACAAATTGTTTCTTACAAATTACCCAGTTTTGGGTATTCTGTTGTAAGCAACAGAAACGGACAAATACACTTCCTTAACCTGGGCAAAAGCATCTGTAATACTTCTAGAGCGAAAGTTATCATAAATGAGAAAACCTTAAGCAGCATTCCATTTAAAATTATGAATGAGACACAATGATTAGATTTCTCTGAAGTGACAGTGATGAAAATTGTCAATTGTATCAAAGTCAGGATCATGATAGTGTATTTGACAATGCCATGAAGCCTATTAAGCAATGTTTAAATTCAAACATGTTTTGAAAGAAAGGATCATTACTATCATTGTCATCCACATCAGTATTAGTTGTATGACACTTTAGAGTTTACAAAGGACTGTCAAATACATAATCACATTTAAATCTCGAAATAGACTTAATATCAAGAAGTATTATCTTTCCCATTGTGTATGAGAATATAAGTGACCAGGTGGTGTCTAAGTTACATTTCTCAGCTATGTGTGGGAAGATGGCAGGTGGTGATAGCATGCTGGTCAGGTGACAGTGGCTCACCATAGCCAGTTCTGGGCATTCTTCCATACCCTCTATCCAGTGATGTACTGTTGATAGCTTGAAATCTGCCATAATGGTAATAATCCTACCATAGAAATCAGCAAATATTACAAATTAGCTTTTTTTTCATTATGAGGTGGTTGTTAAACATTTACTACCACATCAATGATTAATCCTGATGAAATTTACCTTGTCACTGCTGCTTCCTGATTCTTCCCATTGCTATTGTCTCTTGCAACTGAGGTTCTCCTTTATCTGCTTCTACCGACACTCTTTAATTCCCCTAAACACCATGGACACAAGGTCATCCGGTATAACAGAAGGTTTGGGCGTAGCACAGAGTAATCACAGTACAGGCCAGAGGAAACAAACAATCAGAGACAACAGCAACACTTATCTATTGAGTGCCTACTATTTGCCAGGCACTGCCTTTAGAATATCTTTCTCTCTCCTTCTCCAATCTCTGCAATTAAGAGCCATTACCCCCATATTCCTGACCTTTCTAATAAGGGCAATTTAGCTTGTGACTTCCCTGCAAAGCATATTTTAGATATGCTTTTGTTAGTCAAAAACTCTTTATGGTGCTTACCAATTACTTTTTACTCATACATTGTACCAAATTTTTAGGGAAGAGGTATAGTTTGGAATATGGGGAGAGAGCATGAGTAAGAGGATGACTTGGCAAAGGTCACAGAGCCAGGACTCTAGATTTTTCAGCATACTAACTATGTGGCTGGTAAATATTTTTTATTAGCAGTTATTTGGTGAGCTATAAGAGCCCCAATATCCCTATTTTATTTGTGTATAATAATAATAATATTAATAATGGTAGTAGCTAACACTTAGCTAAACATTTCACATTCATTATTGCATTGAATGTTTCTAACAGTTCTTTGTTAATCCCCTGTTAATCATGAGAAAATTCAGGTTTAGAAAGTTCAGTAATGTATGCACAATGACACAGTTTATAATTTATAGAGGAAGGACTTAAATACAAGTAGCCTAACTCCATTGCCTACACTTCTAACTCTTCTGCTGTATTTCTTATGAATTATCATGGAAATAAAAATAATCATGTTAACTGAAATATTCAGTAAAATCTCAGCTCTTGACAGTATTTTATATTGATCTTTTACAGTTTTTTCTTTTTTTTTTTTTATAAAACTAAGGAATTCACAACTTGTAACACTAGTTTCTATGATCTGGAGAGATCACGTGACAAATTATCAATAACTTCTTAGGAAAGAAAAAAAAAATGACTTTCTCCTAAATTCACTTATTCATTCACTCACCCAAATAGGCATGGCTCCCTTGGATAGCTGATTTCCAGGAACGTGCTTTACTGTGAGGTACTGATTAATGGAAGCTTCTCTCAGTTGCTTCCCAGGGGCTGTGGAGACTTTGACATACTCATTTATATAATGATAAATTATATAAATAATTTATATAATTATAATAAATCATTTGGCTATTATATAAAATAGTGTTTCTCCTTTAGATGAAAGTTTTATAATATTTAGAATATTCTTTGATTCTACCACAGTTCATCTCTCATGAGAGTCAGGCAATTTCTAATGATAATTCTTTTATTTCTTAAAAAAAAAAAAAAAAAAAAAAAACTTTGATTCTACCACAGTTCATCTCTCATGAGAGTCAGGCAATTTCTAATGATAATTCTTTTATTTCTTAAAAAAAAAAAAAAAAAAAAAAGACCTATACACCTCAAAGCTGTAAATATGGTGCAGCCCTGTTTTTCTTCAAGATCATCTATTATCAGAGTAATGAAGTCATTAGTCTGTAATGGAGACAAAGGAACACTCTCTCCAGCAGTCTTCCAGGGCCATTTTGGAAAGGGGAGATGAGGGTTAACTCTGTGGTCCTCCTCCCATGAATCTATTCCCACTGCTTAGGAGAAAAGCAGGTTTCTTGAGACTTGTGTATAGACTGACTTGGCTCAGTAAAATCATTTTATTTTCCTTTTGAAAAAATATTGTTATAGGAGACCAAATATAAACAAAGTTTATTTACCTGGGTTCTAAATATAACAAGCTTGATGTTTTTAATTGATATTGTGTGTTTCTCTCTTATTGATGACAGATGAACAAATTTGGGTTATAACAATTTTGATTTATTCTAAAAGAATTGAAACATTTTTAAATGAAGAATTCATTTTATAACACACATTCAATATTGTGTATTTAGCAAAATATCATTATTTGATAAACTAATATTCATCAATCTACTATTTAATGCTTATATTTATAGGACACTGTAAAGTTAGCGTGTGGTTTCTTTAATCTCTTCACAGTTCCTGATGATGTATTTGCCCAAAATTATATATGGAAAGGCTCCTACAATTTCAAAGGAAGGAAACAACCCATGACCTTGACAATTACTAGTTTCAATGCTTCCACTGGGAGAGTTAATGCAACATTGAGCAACAGCAACATGGAACTGCTACTTTCAGGTATCACCTTAAAAAACAGCGACAAAAAGTAATATCTTCATGCTTCATTTCTATCACAATTTCATCTTTATTAGTAATTTTGATACTAAGTATCAAAATTAGTAATTTTGAAAACAAGAAATATTTGTTATATTTATGTTTGATGACATTCATAATTCATTTAGAAACAATGCTTTCTGGTTTTTAGATTGATGAATGAATATTACCACACAAATAAAAAACTGCAGTTTTGGAGAAAGTTCCTTCAAGAATATTTTTATGTACCTAGAATTAGATGCCAGGTAATAGGATGGTGCTTCTAATTTAATTTGAACACAACTAAATCTTTCTCTGTTCTCATAAAACCAGAGACCAGATCAATGAATTACAAACTATTCTTTGGGCACAAAATTATTTCTTCAAATGACGATGTTTAGGTGGACACCCAAAATTTAAGACAGAAAAAGAAGAGCCACTAGTTTAAACAAGTTTATGGGAACCAGGACCCACTCAACCTCTTCATGTTTCTGTTTTCTGTACCTAGTACACACATCCTTCATTATTTTTGATTGTTCTGGTTTTTCTCACATTCAGATGTTTTCTCAAATATTGTCTCCTCAGGCAGTAATGCCAATGACCCTATCTGAAGCAGCATTCATATTACAAACACATGCATTCTTTTTTTTTTATTATTGGTTATGATAGACACATCCTTAATCTTAGACAGTCTTACCCTGTTTTATTTTCTTCTTTTCACTATTTGAAACTATATTATATTATATATTATTTATTATTTTTTCTATACTTCAACAATATAAGCTCTAAGAGAGAAGGACTTGGTGTTCCAATTCATTATCATATACCTGGAGGCTAGAAGAGCATCTGGAACTAAATAATCCTCAATAAATATTGTCAAGTTAATGAATCTGAATTATCATTGCTGTCATTTTTTAAAAATGGAGTACTATGACATTTGATATTAAAAATATGAAAAAAATATATAAACATATATAGTAAATTTCCTGGCAATATATTTCCTATATAATTATTAATAATGAAATAATTTATGATATAAATAAAATATGAAATGAAATTATGTTAATTGATTTTGTAAATTTTAAAAGGAATATTGGACATCATTTTCGGTCATTGAATGATTCTGCATTAAACCCAAAGGAAAGTATTAGAATTTAGTATGTATTACATTTTTTAAATATACAGAATTATGTAATATAAATGGAAAGAAGTTTTATATGAGGAAAGAAATGCATTTAAATTGGGACTAATGATGTACTTAACTTTAAAATGTCAACAATTTTTTTCTTTATTTTCTGTACAAGAGTTAGCTCAAAATAAATATATACTTATTCTAATATAGAAAACCTTCAGAATAGATTTCTGCAAATATAGAAAAACAAACATAAATAATTAGATTAATTAAATTTGCTTTCACTTACTTTCTTCCCATAAACCAATTGTAACAATTTCCCAGTGATGTTATTTTTGATTAGTTTTATGTCCTCTGCCTGTTGGTTATAATTTGCTTTAGGTCAAGATCTATGTCTTATTATCTTTGTATTCCCAGAATATTCTTACAGTGCTTCATTATGTAAGTAAACAATTAAGTGACAATGAATGTATACAAATTTCAACCAACAGTTAATTGCAAAATTTTTACTTACAGCTTTACTTCCTACTATGTATACACTCCAGCTTATTCCTACTCTTAGAATACTCACATTCTAAAAAAAATCATCGTATATATTTTTTCTTCTCTCCTTTATGTAATTACCTGCATTTACCTTCTTGAACTAAAAATCCCACTTGATTTTCGAGACCCAGCTCATATGCTCTTTTTCTTAATATGTATTTTCTGATCACTACAGTGGGAAATGATGTCTCTTTTCTGGTCTTCTATTTATCACATTCTCTCATGTATTTTGGTTAGTTGTGTTCCTTAATTTATATCACCTACTTCATTGGAAATTCTTAAGAATAAAAACAAGATATATTCATTTTTGTGGCAGCAGCAGCACCTGCAATACTCTCTTTCACAGTGTTGGTACCTCATTTATTTTTAAGGAATGTATCAGGAATTTTAACATTTGATTTGCATCCTTGAACATTTTAGAATCTAGGGAAAGAAATCATTTTGTTTGTAATATTATGGAATGATGTTATTAAGAACTGTAGTACTGAATTTTAATAGCATAGGTAATTTAAACCCCGCAATTAAGATTTAAATTGAGGATTTCCGCCAAAAGAGAGATCCCTGTCTATTGCAGGATTTGTGAAAAGCTATCCTTCACTTGGGCCTTGTTTTATTTCTTTTCTTATCACATTTCTTTGATGATATATTTAAGGAGTTGTAGATAGTAAAATACAAAATTAAGTAGACTAAAATGTTCTTGCATTTTACAGGGGTATATAAAAGCCAGGAAGCTCGCCTAATGTTACACATATATCTTATTAAAGTACCAGCTCATGCATCTGCGAAGAAAATGAAGGAGGAAAATTGGGCCATGGATGGTTTTGTAAGTGTAGTTCTTTAAAAGTCTATTGTTGACTTCAATGACAATTTGTAGTTTGTCCAGAAAAAAAGAATTTTAAAAATTTAGCTAATTATGAACACACACACACTCACACTCACACACACACACTCACACACATATTAGTTTATACAAATATTCAGTATTCTAAAGTATTAAGTCTAGGGTTGTTGGATTCTGGCATGCTTTGCTTACTTTGTGTGTGTGTGTGTGTGTGTGTGTGTGTGTGTGTGTGTGTGTGTGTGTGTGTAGGTCTGCATGCCACTTTTCATTGGTTTCATCAAATGTATTCTCTCTTAGTCAGGACTATGGTAAATAAATCTGGACAAAAATATAACACAGCCTTTGTCTAGAATCACTATTTAAGGCATATGCAACATATTTACAAAATGCATCAGAAAATTAAGTATGTCCATTAAACTGAAGTATGAGTTTAGAATATTTTATAAAGCTGTCTGTGAAGAGGAATTTATGTGAGCTGCCTCCTGTGGGGAGGTAGTTACTAGGTTCACCATGGGATCACTGTGTCTTATTCAGTCATTTATATGAATGGAGTTTCTAAATTGACAGTTGGAAGCAAAAAGTGTTATGTTAAGATACTGGCCAGGAGTCTTTGATGAAGAATAAGCATGAGAGATCAGCTCAAGTATAAGCTTTCTTTTAAGAGGAAGACCTAATGGGATAGAAGACAAGTAGTCATAGGCTTCAGTGACTTTAGCTCTATTCTGTACCATAATCAATGTAGCTGGGAACTAACTCAAATCTTCAGTGTACTCAGATGGTTTAACTGCGTTATTTCATCTAGGAAACAAATGAAATGAATTCATTCATTAAAATTGAGTTTGAGCTATTCTCTTTAGAGGAATTTAGAGGTATTTATTTAAAAAAAAAAAAAAACTAATGCCCAAAGTATGTTGTCTGGTAATAAGGAAAAAATCAGTTGTGAGATGTCAGACTTTCGCGGGTGTTCTATTGTGCCTTGCTTTTTAGGGTGAGGGTTTTTTTTTTTACAACTTTTATAATAATGTACATGACTTAGGTAACTAATTACCACTAATTAGCACAAGCTTCAGGGTAAATTTACATTACTAGTTTTTACTGAGATCACTGAAATGTATTCATTCCTATTGTACCTATGAGATCAAACGGCATTATGCATATAAAGTGTTTTTATTTTTTATTTTTTTTTGTCTTTTTTCGTGTCCGGCAACGGATCGCAACCCTCAGTGTCGCGCCCGTACCGGACCGGGACCGGGACCGGCAACAGGATTGCAACCCTCGGCGCCGCGCCCGCCCCTCGCTCAGCCAGTGAGCGGGAACCGGTCTGTATGTGGGATCCAAACCCTCGGCGGGAGCGCCGCCACGCTCCCAAGCGGCGCACTGTAGCAGTGCGCCACCGGGCCGGCCCATATAAAGTGTTTTTAAACTAGAGGATTTTATGCACGTGCAAGATGCCTGTAGTAACCAGAACTTACCGTGTTAGACACAGAATCTCAGGGTCAGACAACAACGGATATGTAGTTCCTTCTCATGTATCTTGAGTTAGCTGTGGAGGCTCCACCCGAGGCTGTAGTATAAAGTTCAGGTCTTCTGTGTCTCATCCTGGGGCTGAGGCTGGAGGGGCAGCAGCCACCTGGAGCATGTTCTTCTTTTGTCAGAAGTCAGAAGATCCCAGAAGGGCAAGTGGTTCTGAAAGGAGGTCAAATACATTGGCATGTGCCTTTTTTAACTGTTCAATTTAGGTATAATTAACATATCCTACAATTCACCCATTTAAAGTGTACAATTCAGTGGTTTTTAGTATATGCACAGGTATGTGTGACTATCACCACAGCCTATTTTAGAATATTTTCATCACCTCAAAAAGACATCCCTCCCCCACCTCTATATTCCCCTAGCCCTAAGCAACCACTAATCCGTTTTCTGTCTCCGTTGATTTCTCTGTTCTGGATGTTCATATAAATGCGACACTTAATATGTGGTCTTTTGTTACTGGCTTCTTTTAATTAGTCTAATTAGAAATAGGCCTCTTAAGGGGGCCGGCCCAATGGCGCACTGCTACAGTGTGCCACTTGGGAGTGTGGCGGCGTTCCCGCCGAGGGTTCGGATCCCACATACAGACCGGCCGCTCACTGGCTGAGTGAGGTGCGGGCGCAACACCGAGGGTTGCGGTCCCGTTGCCAGTCCCGGTCTGGTACGGGCGCGACACTGAGGGTTGCGATCCGTTGCCGGTCACGAAAAAAGATAAAAAAAAAAAAAAAAAAAAAA